ATACGTTTGCAGTTTCTATGACTCTGGCCCTGTAGACCCAAGCATTTAGAACAGTGGGTCAAGTAAACTATGGTCTGTGGGCCAAATCTGACCCACCACCTATTTTTGTAAGTAAATTTTTATTGAAACACAAACACACTTATTCATTTACACATGATCTCTGGCTGCTTTCATGTTACAATGCCAGAGCTAAATAGTTGTGGCAACACAGTTGTGACCACACAGCCAACAAAACATAAAATATCTATCTGGCTCTTTACAAAACATGTCTGCCAGCCCCTGTGGGGCTGTAGAAACCCATGACACCATCAAGAATCCTCCAAGGGCTAGAAGAAACAAAATACTGTCTTAGAGCAAACAGGGTAGTAACGGCTATTAAATATTGAGTATACACTGTGTGCCACATATCCTAAACGACAAGGTGTAGAATATTGCATTAACCCTCCAGACTGATAAGAACATCTCTGCTCATGGATGAGCTCATTGAAGCTCAACGAGGCTAAAGAGTTTGCCTGAGGTCGCAGAGCCGGTGAGCTGTGCAATGGAGCCTCACCCTGTAGCAACCACCCCGGCCAGGCTCCTCCCCACCCAGCTGATGCCTTCCTTCCCCAGGTACTGTCCAGGGATAACACCAACACTGAATGTGTGGGACCTCAGAGACCCCACAACCCCAACCCCCTCCACTGTATGCCAGGGAAACTGAGGCCCAGACAATACACAAGACCTCCAACATTACTTAGGAGGTCCATGGCAGAGATAGGGAAAGGACCCACAGCTCCTGGCTCCCCACGCAATGCACGATCCATCCTGTTGCCCTCAAGCCCCTCTGGCCCTGGTGTCCTGGCCTTGTATTGTTGTCTCTGCTTTGCATTCATGTCACGTGCTCTCCATCCTTCCTGGTCACTGCACACTGGGGAGTCCCTTCTAGGCTCTCCCAGCCTCTGGGGCTTCTGGGATGGTAACCACCCTCCAGCTATTCTGCCATTTGTGCATCTGACAGGGTTATTATAGAATAAAAACGGTGACAGTGATCGTACAGATCATAATAGTCAAGCCTGGCTGGATGCTTGTGCAGTGACAGGAGATGGACATGCATCATCTTACCTATGTGTCGCAGCAATTCAGCGAGGAGGTGAACCCCATTTTAGAGATGAAAAGTCTAAGGCGCAGAGAGAACATGTGCTCTTTCCAGCCCATCACGGAGAACCCATGGCTCCAACCTGGGATTCTGACCTCAGACATAGCAAAGGTCCAGTCGCTCATAACACACCCACACTTGTTTAGACTGCCAGCTGACGGGTTTCTAGAGGGCCCTGGGCTCGGTGGACTCTACCGATTATTACTGTCACTACACTGTGGACTACAAGGGACAGAAGCCAGCCGAGCACCCTCCCTCCAGGCCAAATGCCCTATCAGTACCTGAGTAGCCTGCGTGTGACCTGAGTATTGATCACGGGCAGTTCTGTCCTACTGGTCCCCTTACCAGTTTCTCCTGGCCCATCACAAGCCCCCTGAAGGCAGGGCTGCTGGCTGGGACATCTCTCTACGACTCCGAGGTCCAGTTCTGGATGCTCGGGGAAGAGGTGCCAAATGGAAGGACCCAGTGGGGACGGCTGCCAGCGCCCCTCAACCCAGTCTGGTCCCCCAGGGGCCTCTGGCTCAACATAGCCGCCTTCTGTCTACACGGCCCTTTCTCTCCCCTTTTGTCTGCCTTGTGATAGTTAATACACCAAACCACCACTGCCTTCTTAGCCTGCAGGAAGTGTAACAACTGTTATCTACCACAAACCACCGAAGCCTTAAATTGCGGCAGGAATAGTGACAGTGATAGATTAGAATTTTTAAAATCAAACTCAAATGTGTCCCCATCATGGCTAAGAGAGGGGCTGAGTTGACTTGAAAATAATTTACTTAGAAAATTCTGTGATGCATGGTAAATTAAGTCTCCCTCCTGGCACACTTTCTTTTTCCCTCCAGCAAAAGATTGGCCTGTTTAATTGCGTCCCAAAGACTTCCCACTACGACTTCAAACTACTGGCACTGGGGGGAGATTGATGTAAACCTGGACTTCATCCAAGGGCAGGATGGACAGTTCATTTTGAAATTTTAAAAGGGGCGGAGTGGGGAGACGGATTTGGAATCAAGCGGTCTTTTTTCTCCAGCCTTGAAAGATAGAACTGAAGAATAAGGAAAAAATCATCAGTGACAACAGCTAATGAATTTTAAGTACTAACTACAAGAAAACTTAATTTCCTAAATTAGCTCTGTAGATACAGGTTATGAAATGAGTCACTGTCTCCTTAAAAATGCAAAACTCAGAGCAACTATCACAGCTCAGACTTGCTCTTGCAAGGCCAAGTTGGAAGGTCACATCCAATAGTTTAAATGCTATCAGCAGAGGCCAGAGTTGCTTCTCCACCCCAGACACTGCTAAGCACATCATAGACATATCCTGGGGATCCTTCCTCACTGGGGTTATTTGACAAACTTCTTCATCTGTGCACTAGGGGAGAACACCCATATCTCCCGGTGCTGTCCTGAGGATCCAGCGCAGAATCAACAGAAAGCTCCTAGCAGAGCCCCTGATGCACAGGAAGCTGCATGTGCCTTGTGGCTATTATTATTTTACCAACCCCATTGCACTAATTGGGGGGAGGTGACCTTAGTCTCCCAAAGTGACACAACTGCTGACAGTGGAGTCAGGCCAGGTCTGTCTTGCCTGGGCTTCATCTCCTAATTCAAAGTGAAGCCATTTCCCCTTTGCTAGCAGATGAGCACCTGGGAGGCCAGTCCACATGACAGAGGCAAAGCCCACCCAGATACAAGGTGGGTGTCAGGGCTGCTGCCAGATAAGCTGAAGAGGCACCTGTGGGAGGTGCCAGGGGCTTTCCAGAGCCAGGCCGGCTGCATGCTGCCCTTGGCTTCCTCCCCAGCCCCAGGCATTGAGGGGCACCCTGAGCTGACTCTTCTCTCCTGCCCAGACTCTGTCTCTGACCCTGGCCCGGCCCTGGGTCTCCTGTCCTTGTGCTGGCTTCTGCCCACACTTGTCTTGTCTCTCAGCAACGTGGTCCCTGGGCTTCAGCTCCCTGGAGGGACTCCTACCCGTGCCTGCTCTGCTTTCCTGGAGTCAGGGCTGACAGACAAAGAGGCAGCATGGCACAGAGGGCACAAAAAGCACCCGAGGGAGCGGTAACCTCATACCTGCATTCAAGTCCCAGATGTATACCTTTCCAGCCTCAAGTGTCCCCCAAGGCAGGGTACTTACAGAGCCACCATCTTCTCAGCTGTAATAGGGAGAGAAGAGCTGGCAGAAGGCACGTTGGTTATGAGTGCAGAACTTGCTTGGGCTCAATTCCTGGTTCTGCCACTTCCTGTGGGAGCCTCAGCAAGTTACTTATTCTCTCTGTGCTGACAGTCCCCATCAATAGAATTCTAATGACAGCACCTAATTCACTGGGGTGCTCTGACGATGAGAACATCCATACCCTGGCATAGGGTAAGCTCTATAGAAGTGCCAGCGGTTCAATCTTATGGAAGACACAGGTGGATGGGAAGATCGAGCACGGTGAAGCCCATAAAAGAGCCTACCATGGCATCTGGCACACAATAGGTACTTAACACACATTATAAAACAGACAAGTAGAGTCCATTCAGCCTTTCAGCACAAACTTCCACCTTGCCTGACACAAAATACAAATTGGGTCCAAAAGTGTCCATCAATAACAGCCAAGGAGGGAGACTCTGGGGAGGGGCTTCGAGAAGCTACATCTTATAGTCACTTGGATGCACCATGTGGCTTAGAGAAGCTTCCCCTGAGCTCAGCACCAGCACCCCAGGAAAGAGCAGTAGAGAACAAGGCCTGCTGTCCCGGCCTCCTAAATACCCACAAGGGCAAGGTCAGCCTGAAACACCAATTCCTCAGCTTCCTGTTTCCACGTTTCCAGTTGGGGGGTGGGGGGAATAAAATGCACAGCGTCTGCACATCCAGGCGGGGCAGGATGTGCAGGGCAGAACCGCCCTGACCTCCTCACCCCGGGTCTCTCAGACGCCACTGCCTCCCCATGGTTCATACATCAACACCCACCGTTTCACACGCCTGCTCTTCTAGGCTCTGGCTTCCAGTGGGTCTTTCCGCCCTTCCCTTTAGAGCTACCCCCAGCCAGATGAAGATGCTCATGGCTCACGTCCATCCTTGCCGCCCCCGCCAATCCCTGCAAGTGCAAAGTCCATCTAGTGTCCAAGGCCCTGATCATAGGCCCCCCCTCTCCACTGTGATGCTCTCCCTAATTCGTCCCAAGCGGGAAGGGTCCTCCCTTCCTTGCCTAGGGCAAGAAGTCACTTTCCCACTTGTATCAGAGCAGCAGCTTTTAAGCCTCTCCCAAGAGGTGTCCTCAGGCCCTGCTGGGGTGAGGTGAGAGGACTGGTCAGCCTCTGCCCTCTCCAACAGAGCGGCCACCATTCGATCTGCTTATACACCTGCGCAAGACCTCGCTGACAGAAAGGGCGCTCTAAGGAAACAAATCTTACCCCTCCGGCAGCGTGTAAGAGACCCCAGGGCTGGGCAGAGCACAGCAGTGCTCAACTTGACGCCCCATAACACTGGTGTGCACAGCAAGAGTTTAAAATGTACGGAATTTGTGGTGAGCACCCAGACCAGAAGTCCTAGTCCAACAGTACCATGTCGTGAAGACTGCTGTCAGGTCACTGCTCCCCCCAAATACAAAGTGGAGAAGAGGGCACTGCCACTTCTCGGCTGGCAGCAAATCAAGTGCTGGGTGCCAGGAAACAGAAGGTAAGATCATTAACCTCAAAGTTTCCAAAGCAAACCCAAATGCTTTAGTGGGGAAAAAGCACCCTGGTCTGAGTTTTAAGGGCCTGGGTCTGGATGGGGTGGTTCTGGGTGGGGCCCGAGTCCAGGATTTCCACTTGGGAAGGGGAAACGTAAGCCATCCATCTCACAGAGGAACCGAAGTGCTCAGGCAGGAAATGCTTTTATTCCATCCACTCGACCCCTTAGAACGGGAGGTGAAGAGTGAAAAGTGCATTCTTTCTAAGGGCAAAAAATTCCATGATGGCAAGATGAGACCCTGTGATGGGGGCGAGTCATGGTTACCTCCTTTGATCCCAGGTGCTTTGCAGATAAAGCCAGGACAACCCCCCGACACACCCCCGGCAGTGATTCACAACAGTAAGGTCACTTTCTAAGTGATGGCTGTCTCCTCTCACCAGACCGCACAGCGGTCCCAGATGGAGATTCGGCACCTAGGTAGGTGGGCATCCAGGGGCTGGGGTAACTCGGGGAAGAGGCTGTGGGGACAGGGAGTCTTGGGGGCACAGTTTGGGTGTGTGCGGGGAGCTGGTGCAGAAGTCTTTACAGAAGCAGATGGCACAGGGTTGGGGTGTGTGTCTGTGCTGGGGACGGGGGTGTTGCTGGTGCTGCCACTGCCTTGTCCCCCAAAGTAGGACGAGGAATGTCCCATTGGGCTGCCAGACAAGGAGGGAGAGGAGAGTGCCATTCCATGGGCCAGGCAGGCTGGGCAGCCCCCTGCCCTGGGTGCCTGCAGAGCCCAGCAGCCCTGCATGGTGGGTGTCCATTGCTGTGTGTCCTCTAGAGCTCTGGGGCCGGCTGCTGCACAGCCTGCCCCTCCACGGGCTGCATGGCCTCCTGCACGTAGACGATGAACTCGGAGGCCTCCCCGCCCTGCGTGTAGACGGTCACTGTCTCGATACCCTCCACGTCATCGGAGGACACCACCAGGTGGTGCTGCTCGGCCAGCTCCACGGAGGCTTGCTGGAGGGTCTCCTGGATCATGACCGTGTGGTTGGAGCTGGGCTCCTCATCGGTGACCTGTGAGAGGGCAAGAAAGAGGTCACACAAGCCTACTTCCAGGTCCAGCATTACTACAGCTTACGGAGCAACTAGTACGCTCCGGGAGCTTGTCCACACTGCATATAACCCTCCACAATGCTTGGTGCTTGCTCTCATGCCCATTTAATAGATGAAAAGAGTGAGGCTCAGTGATGCAAAGCAACCTGGTCAGGGTTCCCCAGCCGTAGCAAATGGTGGAATCTAAGTTCAAACCCAAAGTCCAAGGTCATTTCCTGACACTAAGCTGCCTCCTGGTGCCTCCTAAAGAAGGGGGTTACTTAAAGAATGAGGGTGGAAGGAACCACGGGAGTTATTTACTGCAATGGTGTTGGGGCAGAGTGCGGGGGCTCCTGGAAATATACAGCCAGTCCATTTGGCAGTGATAAAGGGACTAGGTCCATCCTGGGCTCTCTGGGAGCTCAACTCTGTAGGAAGGTCTATATCCTACCAGGAAGGGCAGACACTCCCCAGGCGTCCTCTGGCCCTCAGCATTAATGCCGTAGCTACTGGGGAGGGGGCTGCTGGTGGAAACTCACTGCCCCTCCGAGCACTGTCAGGCCAGGCCTTTCTCTATAGCTCTGAGCTGGCAGACTCCAGGCAAGGCTAAATTCCGGCTGGTGTTAATGCCCCACATCCCTGACTCTGTCAGCTCAGGGCTGTTTTTCATAACAACTGTCTTTGATCTTGAGAAGAGAAACAAAAGACACGGGGAAGATTTAGAAAGAGTTGGGACCTCAGAGATGTCAAGATGAGTGAAGGGTTAGAAACAAATCCACGGGGAAAGCAAAAGGGCCTGGAATTGTGTAGCTGGAGGATGAGAGAGTGCTCGGATTTACAGAAGATGTCAGAGAGACCCGTTCATTTCAGGGTGGGTCCGAATGACACGTGCTTTGTCCTGCACTAACCCAGCACTGACACTGGCTCCACCATTTAGCAGCTGTGAGACACTTTTCTCTACAATCCTCAGTTTTGTCATCTGTAAGACAGGGACTAAAATGTCTACTTCAGAGAATGAGGGGAGAATTAGAGGAGATTCTATACGCAAAGTGGGTGCTTACTAGCATCACTGTCCTTCCCATCCCTTCATTCATTCACTTAACAACACTGTCCTCATCACTTGCTACCTGGAAGGTATTATGGCATGGCAATTATTCATTCATTTAACAGAACTGTCGTTTTATTAGCTACTACCAGACTGCAAGCTCCACGAGGGCAGCAGGGACCATGTCTGTCTTGTCACAGCTATTTCCTTAGGGTCAAGCTCAATGCCTGGTACACAGAAAACACTCAATATTTGCTGACTGATGATCCACCGGGAACAGATGCCACATTAGGCCACACGGTGGAAAACCACAGCCCCCAAGGAGCTCAGAGTCTTGTGGGCTGCACAGAGCTGTGAGGCTCCAGCAGAGGTGGCCAGTGCAGGGCAGGTGAGTAGCCAGGGATGTCGTGGGTCAGGAGGCAGCATGGGGAGGGGTTCCAGGCAGACAGGGGAGCAGACTCCCAGGAGAGCAGCAGGTGTGCCTAGGTGGCCTCCACACAGCCCCATTCCCCACACTTCTGACTGCTCTTCCCGCCTGCATCTGGCATTGGGCAGTTCCTACTCCCTGTCCCACGTATCTGTGACATGCCATGAGACCGCCCCCTCTCTGGGGAGGGCCCAACTAGCTTGGAGGGTCTCATTCGGACCCTGTGATTATGCCGGCTGCTGTGAGCGGGAAGGGCAGTATTAACAGGTGGGTCACGTTTAATTCAGAGAGAAAAACGGAAAAGGCTCTTCCAGGGTGGCTCCAGAGGTTGCATTGTTATAGATTGGAAGGAACTTCTAATTTGGATTGATAGAATTCACCAGGAGATGAAGAGCCGTTCCGAGTGGAAACTATTCATACATTTAGCCTGATTTGTTTTTTTTAGAGTGAACTGAGACCTTTTTTTCTTCTTTCACTGTTTGTTTCAATTTAATTTAACTGGGAGAACTACCATGAACCAGGACTTTAGAAGTAAATATTGATTTATTTCACTTTGAAAGAAAGTACCTGAGAGAGGCTGGAAAATGGGAGGGAACATGCAAGAAATTTTTTCTCCTCTTAACCATCAGTGAATTCTACACAAAGGGAAAAGTGAGGGGACAGGGGGCGATCTATGCCCAGGGCCTTACACATGCAAACAAGACCACCACGCTGCAGGTAAACAGATGACACAATAAATACTGTGAGACCAACCAATACACGAGCTTTAGGACATACCCTGGGATGTGACACCATTTTTAGGACATAGTGATTGTCATCAAAGCTGAAGAGGAAGCATGCACTGACAGAAATAGTCCACTGGTCAAAAACTCCTGTCCTTTTAACAACTCTAACTCCACAGCGCCGGAGTACTGACAGGGGCAGAAATTACTGCCGAGGGTAAGGAGAACCGTGCCCTGGCTGGGCCCTTTATGAGCAGAGGCTGCACCTTCCTGCCCCATGGCAGCGCTGTGGGCACACACGAGTTCTCAGGGCCAGCCCCAGCAGGAAGTGGGAGGTCCCTAGATGACCAGGACATGGCCACCGCCCACAAATGTGGTGAAAACCAAGAAGAAGCCAACTGAAACAAAGGTCAATGACGTGCTAAATAAGCGTGTAGCATTAGGGCCTGGGGGCCGCTTCATGGAAGGCGGCATTGGCCACAGAGGGTCCGTGGTGGGAAAAGGCATCACAGGCAGAGAGAAGACACTGAGTAAAGAGCAGGTGTATGCCCTGCATCCCTGTCAAGGTCACCCACCACCTCCCAGTCACCAAACCCACTGGGCAGAGTTCCGTCTTCACCTTTCCAGAACACTTTACCATCCGCACTGCTGAGCCTGACTCAGCTTTGTTCCTGAGACACCCTCTTTGCTGCTTCCCATCCCCCCTCTGGGCTCTGTTCTGAGCCCTCTCCCAGATTCCAGGGTGGTTCGTTGCTCTTCTCCTTCTGCCCACCCCAAAGCCTGGAGGACTCCTGGGTCTCCCTCCTCGACTTCTTCCCCAGGCCTCCTCAGGCACTTCCGATCCTGGCTGAGCCAGAGACTCCTGCCCCTACTCCAGACCATGTGCCCCTCTGCATGGGAGGTGCTCAGGAATGTTTGTGAAACGACGCATGAGCAGGCTGTGCAGAAGTCACTGACAGAGGGAGTGTCGGGGGAGAAGTGGCAGATGAGGCCTGAAATGAAGCTTGCAATCAGATCCTGAAGAGCTCTGATCATCAGCTGAGAGACGCAGCCTTTATTATACAAAGGAAGACACTGAAGGTTTTCAGAGAAGGGCCCTATGTCATCCAATCTGTGGCACTTGATGAATCAAAATTTGCCTAACATGAGAAGACTTGCTGAGCACTATGCTTCCTTCCCGATCCCCGTGTTCACATTTATTGCCCATGTTACCTTTTCTGTATTGAGCCTACTGAAAGATAACCCTTTCTCCATTTGTTTTGTTTTTCCATTTTCAGTCTCCAGGGTTTGTCCAACGGAATTACCACTAAATTCATTCACTGCTAATTATCAGGGTACAATAAAGTTTCCACATGATCTTTTGGGCTTAATTCACCAGAAAAAATGATGGCGGCAGTGGGCAACGAGTATTTCACACAGTCCTGCAGAGCAGCCCTCTCAGTCAGCGCAGGCGTATGGGGCTGTGTGCTGCTGCTCCATCAGCCGAGCATGGAAAGTGCACCTAACCACCAGCCCGGGTTCCTGAAGCTCATCTGCTGCAGGCCTCGTTCACACTCTCCCGAGCCTTCACACCCGCACAGACGGCCCACTTTAAAGCTAGCACATGGACCCCACACACAGATGATGCAGGAGAGAGTGGGCTGCTTCACAGAAGGGGCTTATGAGGCTTTCTGCAAAGAGTGTCCCCCCTTTGTGCATTTCAGGGGTTACACGACCACACTCTGTCTGCTTTTATGTGGTTTCTGCAAACCATGCACTGCCTTTCCTGCTCCCAGGGAACCCAATGTCCACCCAGCCCTTTGCAGTTTATCGAACATTCTCCTACGCCTCAACCCAATTATTTATTTACACACAATGTCTTATGGTTTGGGCATCTCTGTTCCCTTTTTACAAATGGAGACACTGAAGCTCCTAGCACTCCAGTGACTCATCAAAGATCAAACAGCTGGAATGTAGCAAAAGCTGGACTTTAGTTCAAGTCCAGAGACCTTCCTCAGCTGGTGTAGTGTGACAGTGATTAAAGGTAATCCATGTCCTGGATTGATAGGATTAAATTATTGCTCTTCACCCGTCCCAATCAGTCTGAGGCTGGCTATATAATTCTCACTCTCTTTGTTCAAAATGATCACTCTAGCAGCTTAATCTATTATCACAGGCTTAAAATTGTTCTCTGTAGTAGAAATAATATGGCTTTCACAGTGTCATTATCCCCTCAGATGGGTACTCCATTTTCCCCAAATGCTGTATCTAACACATCTTTTAGCTGAATTATTAGCAGCATAGATAGCTTAATAGAAACTCTTAACCCATGGGACTCTACAAATTATTCACTAAATCAGGCACTGAGTTCTGCAGTTCTGCCTGCCTCAACTGTTCTTCTGGAATCCAGACTAGATCACTGTCAGGACCCAGGCACTTTGCTGGGCTCCATTCATGCTCAAGAGCAGCTTCCCCTTGAGACCGTGTCTATTCCTTGGAATTATCCCTTCCTCGTCCACTCATCCAGCAAATGTCCATGGAGACGGCTGTGTGCCAGGCAGCCAGCTACGACTCTGATTGCGTCGCTGTCTGGATTTTTTTTCCCACTCCCCGCCTGTCCTACCTTCTCTTTCTCCTCCAGCTCCCCTCCCCACTTTCTTTGTAAAAACCATTCCCAGAAGATTAAGCTTTCTCCCTCCCAACATTCAAGAAAATCCCAGAAGTCCCCCAGCTCGGGAAACCCTCCTGAAGGAAGATGGGTCCTGCATCGCTCCCAGCATGCTCTGCAGGGCGTTCCACGTGGGCTTTG